TGGGACCCTTACATTGGATGGAATTGCTAGCATAGAGATTGCATCCCAGATACAAACAGAGACACTAAAGATACCAAGGAGAATATTGAATTGGAAGAGAATACCAGTAATGAATCTCAGATTTAATTCCTCAAAAGGCATTAAAAGCCTTTAATGTTTAAATTCTATAAATATAAATGTGTTAGTGATTTGCTGAATGCTTTCCCCTGGTGTTTGGGTAGCTGTAGTCATACTCCAGAAAGCGCACGAAGCCCAGCCTTGGAATGCACAGAAGACCTTCGAAAAAGTATACGCCGTAAAGGCCAAGGTAGAGCTAAAATTAGAAGCGATGATCTCTGGATGCAATGGTCTCCATTCACGGTATGTACGTACATTTGTATGTGTGGTGGCATAAGGGTAGATAACTAGGGGTAGTTGGCTCTGTTGCGAAGCATTTAACGCTCAATCGTAGGGGCAGGTGCTCTCTGTTGCGCACCTGTGCGTTGGGAGGGAAGCTCTGTTGCGCACCTTTGAATGCATTAAGGATATGCTCTGTTATGGGGATGCCGGTAAAAGTATACAAATTTTATATAATTCATTTCATAGTAGGCACGGAGTCCAGTACAAAAATGAGCCTGAGCCACTCGTGGTGTACATCCGCGTTGGATATTCTGTAAGTAGTATTATGCCATTATTTATAATAAATGGTAGAAAGTAGAAAGTAATTTGTATTGCATGACATCAACCGGAAGGTATAAAGAGTGTTTCGATTTTATAAGAAATTATCCTTATACATAAATATCAATGCGGAAAATCAGTGGAATATAAAATAATAATCCGTAGGCTCTAGCAGCGGTATTTAGTGGGACTGAACAATTTTGGGCAGCAGTTGTACAGTCTGTAAACAGAACGCATTTCATTGGGGGATGCTGCTGTTGCATTGCCCCACTGTAACGAAGGTTAGGACACAGCCCCAGAAATTTCCTTCATTTCGTTGCACGTGTTGCTGGTGTGCTCAACAGGTTTCGTTTCCACGCTTAACATAAACTGAACTGTTTTTTTTTTTGCTGATTGCCATTGTGTGGTGTGTTTGGCATATCCCATATACGCACGAAGGGCCACAGGGTGAACGAAATTGTTGCAGTTGCAAGTCCAAGCACAAACACCGAACACAGCACAATACGCATGCGTAGACGTGAGCCCACAACAAGTGAAATGGAGGGCACAAATGAAAATATCGCAGCTGTGGTTAAGTCGGGAGAGTGTTTTCTGGGCTTTAGGCAGACGCTGAGGACTTTGCATCGTGGGAGGGCCAAGCTGGTCATCATCGCCAGCAATATATCCACAGCAATGCGCATTAAGCTGGTACAAAGCGCCGCAATTGCCATGGTCGAGATCCAGTATTATGCTGGGACCAACAAAGAGTTGGGCATCGCCTGTGGCAAATCATTTCGTGTGAGCTCCATGTCGTTTACCGATGCTGGTGATTCGGATATCCTTGGGCCCTCATCGGCTGACAATTGAAATGCAAAACTAAATTATAATTACTCATAAATTTAAATTTAAATGTAAAATAAAGGAACAAGTTTCCCCTGCGTGTGTTTTATGGTTAAATTGTTTTGTTTTGAATATTGCAAGGCAGCCAAAGTTGGACTGGCACTGAAAGCTGCCAACTGAAATCTGTTGAATGTTGTAATCAATTGAAGGATGTCTTTAATAACTATCACAAAGAAATGTGTGGCATAATTCTAGCAAAATATTGTAAACAAAATAACGTTGCAGGGGAACGAGTGCTCTCCCTTAGAGCGCTGTGTTGCGGCACCCGACGACCATGGCCAGCAGAGCCATGCGAATGTACATGCCGTATTCGGCCTGTCGGAAGTAGGCAGCACGCGGATCCGTATCAAAGTCGCGACTGATCTCGTCCAGACGTGGCAGCGGATGCAGCACAATCATACGCTTTTTGGCCAGCGTCATCAGCTTAGGCGTGACAATAAAGTGACCATGGCACTGCAAGCACAAAAGAAGCATTCAATTAGATCAGTAAATAAATGGACTATTCTGGGTGCTGGCTTACCTTTTGATACTCCTCCTCGCTGTCGAAGCGCTCGCGTTGTATGCGCGTCATATAGAGGACATCAGTGTCGGCGAGCACCGTCTCGAGGCTGTTGCAGTAGAGCTGCTTAACGCCGCGCTCATTGACAAATTTGGATACCTCTTCTGGCATCTGGAGAGTGTTGGGCGCCACATACTGCAGCGTCACATTGTAGAGGGTGAGGAGACGGGCCAAGGAGTGGACAGTGCGGCCATTCTTCAGATCGCCACACATGGTGATGGTGAGTCCATTGACGGTGCCGATCTCCTCGCGAATGGTGAAAATATCCAGCAGCGCCTGCGTGGGATGCTCGCCAACGCCATCGCCAGCATTGATCACCGGCTTGCGAGAGTACAAGGCGGCACGCTGAAAGGGCAGCAGACAGTAAGGACTAGTAAGGTAAAGGACTCGGAATGCATTTTGTATACTTACAGCCACAGCACCGGGCAGGGGATGGCGCAGCACCAGAACATCTGAATAGCTGGCCATCACTTTGATGCTATCCTCCAGGGACTCGCCCTTCTTCACGGACGATGTGAGCTGATCCATGCTGATCACTCGGCCGCCCAGTCGTAGCATGGCGGCAGCGAAACTGCACTGTGTCCGTGTGCTCACCTCGTAAAAGACGCTGGCCATAATCTTGCCGCGCAGCAGATCGTCCACCGGCCGGTCCTTGCTCACCCGCGACTTGAGCAGCTGCGCCAGATTGAAGATGTCATTCAGATGATCCTTGCTGAACATGTCCACGGCTAGAATGTGCTTGGACACCAGCGAATGGGCCACCGGATTGCTACTGGTCTGAGCGTACTGATTGCTCGCCGCCGCCGTCGCCGCTGATCCCGATCCTGACGCTGACATGGCGGTCCTTTGCAGATAGTCCCGCAGTGTGGTGTTGCTGGAGGAGTCCAGGCGGTGGCGTGGCGACGGGGAGATTGGTCTCAGGAAGTTGTTTGAATTGTTGGCATCGTCCACAAAGTGCACCTTGGCTGCTCCCTCGACAGTCAAGAGGCGGGCGAAGGTGTCATTGGCGTCCCTGTCGCTGGGCAACTCTTGTGTGGCCTCGGACAGCAGCTGCTGGGCGCCTTGCTTGGTGCGCACATTCTGCCCGAAGCCAGGCTGAACCAGAACCTGGCCATCGATGAAGGCCACCTCGCCGCGCAGCACGACACGATGGACACGGCCCGTTACCTTGGTGCCCTCGAAGGGCGTCCAGCCGGCCTTGGTCTTCAGTTCGCTGCCCGTGATGGTCCACTCCTCGTCCAGATCGACCTCCACATAGGTGTGCGGCTGCTCGGGCAGATTAAAGATGTTGCGCGGATTGCGGTGCAGCTTCCGTTTGATGTCCTCCATGGTGAGCCGACCCTCGTGCACCGCCTGCAGGAGCAATGGCAGAATGGTCTCCAGGCCGGGAAAGCCGGGCGGCGGACGCTCCGATCGCTTCTCCTCGAGCGTGTGCGGCGCATGATCGGTGGCAAACACATCGATGTACTCCATGTGCTCCCACAGCGCCTCCTGGTCTTCGGGCGAGCACAGGAGCGGACGCACCTCTGACATTCCCATGCCCAGACGGTCCACATCCTTGGTGCTGAGGAACAAGTGATGCGGACACACCTCGCACGTCACCTTGATGCCCTTCTCCTTGGCGGCCCGAATCAGCTGAATCTCCTCCCGCCTGGCCACATGGCAAATGTGCACATGGCGATCCAGCAGGTGTGCCAGCAGCACCACAGCCGCCATGCTCTGCTTCTCCGCATGGCAAACGATCGGAGCCCGTTTGGGCCAGTGGGAGAGGTGCCGCTGCCATGAAGTCATATCGCTGAGCCTCAGGGTGCCGTACGTGTCGTTGAGGTACATCTTCAGGCCACAGGCCTGTGTGGCCAGCTCGTGGGCCTGTGCCCAGTTTGCATCGGAGGCGCCCAAATACAGGGCATAGTCACAGCGGGCACCAAGCCGTGCCAGCTCCTGGAACTGCGCAAATGTCTCCTTGTCCACGATCGAGGGATTGGTGTTGGGCATGGCACAGACGAGGGTCACACCGCCAGCCAAGGCGGCGGCTGTGCCGCTGGCAAAGTCCTCCTTGTGCGTGGCACCCGGCTCCCGCAGATGCACATGGACATCAATGAAGCCCGGCAGCTTGACAATCCGCCGTGAGGTCATGCAATCCGTGTGCGTCTTCATTGCCGGCTGGCCACCCATCAAACGCATCGATTCCACCAGCAATTTGGTGCACTTGACATCCGTGACCAATGGTATGGAGTAGTCCACGGCCAGGCGGCGTGTGCGATAGCCATGCGTCATGAAGGACGATACCCTAAACGATAGTTATGGGAAATTAATGGTTGATTTTATGTTGATTATGGTTGAATTAATGGTCCTTGCAGTATTTTCTGCACTCACCTTCTGACTCCACCGCCACTCATGGGCAAATTGATGACCAAATCAAATTGTTTGTTGGCCAGAAATTCGGCCAAATGTCGCAGCTCTCCATTGATGTCGTCCGGTGTTGTCTTATCGAATGTCCACTGTACGGATTCCACCTGTAGAGAGAGTCGCGAGAATGCATTAGACACAGAGACAGAGAGAGAGAGAGAGAGAGCGTTTTTCAAGGCCAAGAGCGCGTAAGTGCAATCAATTATTTGCTCTGGCCACACCAAGATATCGCTATTTGCGGTACATGGCGATCCCCCACACCTCAGACAAGAACAGTTATTAGAGCTACGTTACAATGGCACAGTGGGTCGAATGCAGCGTTTATCGTTTTACTTTTAACTATTTTGACAATTATTTGTTGTTATTTTAGTTATTTATTGGCAAGTTGAATGCTGAAGAGAGCCATGCTGAAACTTTTGCTTCTTAGTGTTAGGTTGTTCTTTGGTTATTGTGCCACAAAGTGTGCTGGCAAGGTATTGGTACCAGTGTGGAAATACAGAGTGAAAATACAGATAGGAGACGAGCAGCCGGAAGTGTAGCGTCGTGTAAGAATCAGTCACTTATCTCTGCTCTGGGCTGATGATTGCAATTGTTTGATTGTTGATTGGTGGCGCGATCTTATCAGTGCAAGGGAATGGGAACATCGAACACCGCACTGGAGCTGTGTCTGTCAGCAAAGAGATCCAGAGACAATCAGCCAGCCAGCCAGCCAGCCAGTCATGGGTTGCTCCTGCTCAAGGCCATTGGAATACGACGGCTCCACGCCGAATCCACTGCAGGCGGCTATTGCCTCACAGCCACGCGTCCAGCGGCGACGTCAACAGGAGGAGAAGCGCATGCGTCAGCTGCAGAAACTGCAAAAGCGAAATGCACGCAAGCGGCAGGCTAAGCGAGGCTCAGGCGGTGGCTCATCGGGATCGATACAGCGTCGGCGGGTGAGCGGCAAACAGAATCAGGATTTGGCACTGCAGCTGCGACTGCTGGGCGGCAGCAATGGCAGCAGCGCCACGGAGTGTGTCAGCGCACTGTATGCCCGCACATTGGAGCACCAGCGGGAGGAGCTGCAGCGCACCATCGAGCAGAAGACACTCCAACAGCTGGACAAGGAGCTGCACACGTTCCTGCTCAATCAGCTGCTGCTGGGTCTGCAGTTCTTTGCGCACTTTGATGCCGAAATGGCAGCCATGGATGTCGAGCTGCAAACACAGCGACGTTTGGCCTGTGGCCAGTCCCTCACCGAGCACAGTCTGCTGCAGGCGAGCGCCATAGATGTGACTGTGGCCAAGCATCTGCACTTTAAGCCCATGTAGGTGACAAAGTTCCTTCTGCTGGACTCCAACTGATCTCCATCTGTCTTTTTAGAGCTGCCAAGAAGTCGCAGCCTCTGCAGAAGCCTCTGACATATGTGGTGTTCGAGAACGTGGATATATCACGGCCGAATGATGCCAACTACGACTCGATAGCCACACTCTGCAAGGTGTTGCTCGAGTCTGACTATTACACATCCACGCCCTGCCGCTCGGAATATGTGCAGCTCATGGAGCAGTCCCGCTGGATGGGCTACGTGCGCCTGAAGCTCCGGGAGCAGGGACAGCCAGCCAGTCCGATTGGGCGTGGCATTGCCGCCAGCAGCGGGGATGAGGGTGATGCGGGCATCTACACGGACGGTGGTGGATCCACCTCTGGCTACAGTTCGGGCAGCTGGCGGGAGGGTGACTACGATCATGTCTACCTGGAGCGCCTCAACACTCTCCGATCCATGGAGGAACTGAGAATGTGCAATGCATCGCCGCTGGAGCGAAACATCCTGCCGGAGGGTTGCGTTTGCCAACTGTCCAGCTGCCTGCCCGCCTGGCTGGAGCAGTCCGATGATGAGGATGACAACGAGGAGGAGTCCAGCAATGGGGAGGAGGAGGAGGAAGTCGAACAGGAGGCACCACGTTCCGCCTACGAGACAGTCCAGGTGCTGCGCCAGTATCGCGTGGAACAGCAGCGACGACAGGCACTGCTTCATCAGAGTTACCTAAGCTCCGAGCAGTTTATGAAGTACTTTGGGGATCTGCTGCGCCAGCATCTGGCCAGCGAGCTGAACATCTCCGCCTCGTTGCTGGCGACTGCCAGCTATCGGGGCTGCAGCGTCTACACGGACAGGGAGGAGCTGGTGCCGGCCATTCAAGTGCACAACGCCTGGCCCGATTGCGCCTTCGAGTTCAATCTGCGGGCACGTCCGCGGCTCACCAATCTGCACACAGACGAGAAGTTCCAGTGGCCCACGGAGCAGATGAGGAATCGCATACGCTCTTTTGGCTTCCATGTGGTGCCAGTGGGCTATGCGCCGAAGCATTCGCGGAATCCATTTCGGGCGCTCGAGTGGCGCATTGTCTTCCCGCAGGCGGAGCAGTTTCTGGAGCGCCAGCTGACGTCCATGCAGCTGAAGGTGTTCCTGCTGATGAAGGTGCTGGTGCGCACCTTTGTGAGCGACAAGTGCCAGGCGATGGGCAGTCTGGTGGAGCAGCTGCGCGCTCATCTCTTCTGGCAGTGCGAGCGGCACAGCAACGACTGGCCCGAGGAGTTTCTCGGCGAGCGGCTGCTGCGCTTTGTTCGCTCCTTTGACGACTGCCTCGCCCGTAAGCATCTCAGCGATTACTTCGTCGAGCGGCGGAATCTGTTCGAGCATGTCCCAGAGGATGCCCTCATGGAGCTGCGCTCCATTATGGCCGGCATTGCCGAGCAGCCGCTCCTCCATCTCGTGCAGGCACTGCGCAATCTCGAGCATGCGCCCGACTTCTATCCCAAGCTGGACTACAAGCGGCTGCTGGATAACTTCTTCTGCCAGGACTACCTGCAGCTGCACAGCTGGGGTAGATTCTACCGCAACACTTCCAACCCAATCCAGCAACAGCAGCAGCAACAGGTGGATGAGGAGCAGCAGCAGCAGCAGGAACGACCAGAGGTGACCGATGCCCGTGGGCTGCTGGGCATGCCGCAGCATCAGGAGCGCTCACGGGGCAAGCTGCGTCGCAAGACCCAAGTGCTGCAGGCCTCCCACCAGCAGCTACAGTTGGCCGATCAGCGGCGTTCCTCGCTGGACTCCTCGATGATGGACATGTCCATGCAGCTGCTGCTGTCGCGCTCCTGCAGCGTGCAGGAAACTCCACAGTCGCAGTCCGCGGCGCAGGCGGGGCCGCAGCTGAACAACGGCCTGGAGATACTGCGGCGCACCAATCTGTTGGAGCTGCTGATCGATCATCTGCTGGCGATGCTGGCCAAGGCCACACAATTTGGCAATCGGCTGCACGCGGAGCTCTACTTGGAGCAGGCACAGCGGCTGTGCCGCCTCTACCAGCAGCTCGGCTGCTCTCAGAATGCCCAGCACTATGTGGAGGAGCTGCTGCAGGCGTCTGCAGGCATTGAGCGGATGTCCGTGGACGGTGCGGAGACGCCGCCTGCCCTGCCACGACGCAGCTTCTCGGGCTCGGAACATCGTTCGTCGGTGACTCCCAAGCAGCGTCGCAAGTCCCTCAAATTCATGGAGCATGTCGTGCAGATACATTCACCCGATGCCATGTCCAGGCAGGTTCTGCCTCTGCCTCACCTCACGGCCCCTGGCATTCTGAAGGGAAACACACAGCCCAAGCCCGAGCTGATAGAAGAGCCCGCTCAGACAGTCTCCCGTGCCACGGAGAGCATCCTTTCACTCAACACTCTGCTGCAGCGTCTCAACGTGGATCCAGACAGACTACAGACCCTCAACAACAAGACGGAACAGGTGCTACAGACGCTGGCCCCGTCGGAGACCAGGCGCGACGAGCTGCGCGACATTCTCAAGCGCAACACGCAAAAGATCAGGGAAGCCTTCAACTGAATTCATTCATCGCCACTCAAAGCTAAGAGCCGAGACTCCGAGTACCTGGAGATAATATTAGAGGGTAATACTTCAAGTCTGCAGGTCTCTTTCTTGCGTATTTCAAAGCAAAATAAATCAAACTCTAGCCCGATCTTTCGATTCATAGCTGCTGATTGCTTCCTTAAATCTTTCGCGGAAAGTTCTCTGAGCCCACACCCAACCTCTTAGCTAGTGAAATTATCATTTTAGCACTCACATCAACGCCATGTTCCGCATAGAAGTCGCCAGTGCCCATCGAGGCGTACAGCTTGTAGCCCATCTTGGCCAGATCTCGTATGGATGGAAGCAGTTCCATTTTGTGCTGCGCAGCAAACCAAAGAAAAATTCGATACATAAAGATGGAAATTGCAACATAGAAGGAAATGCTTACCTTGAAGCTACCAACGGAGAGGAGCACGGCATTCTTGGGTATCTGAAAGCCAGTGGACATCATGGCCTTGAGGTAGGCCTCGTAGCGATTGTCGCCAAAGCCGGCCACCTCGCCAGTGGAGGCCATCTCCACGCCCAGCTGGACATCGGCACCCGCCAGGCGGGAGAAGCTGAATTGCGGCACCTTCACGCCGACCTTGCCCACACCATGAAGCACATCGATGGGCTCCACCTCCATGCCGACAATGGCTCTGGTGGCCGTGGCGACAAAGTCATGATCGAGCGTCTTCGAGACGAAGGGGAATGAGCGCGAGACGCGCACATTGCACTCGATGACCTTTAGTTCGTTGTTCTTGGCAATGAGTTGCATGTTGAAGGGTCCGGTGACATCCAGCAGACTGGCCAGGGCGCAGGTGATGCGCTTGATGGCCTCCAGTGTCTCCGCGTTAAGATCTTGCGGCGGCGTGACCAGCGTGGCATCGCCTGAGTGCACGCCCGCATTCTCCACATGCTCCGAGACGGCCATGCAGAGGATCTGACCATCGGCGGCCACAGCATCAACGTCGATCTCCTTGGCCTCGGTGAGAAACTTGGATATGACCACCGGATGCTCGCGACTCACCTCCGAGGCGGCGTTCAGATATGTCTCCAGATCCTGATTGGAGTAGGCCACATTCATGGCAGCGCCGGACAGGACATACGATGGCCGCACCAGGCAGGGATAGCCCACCTCCTCGCAGAACTCGATGGCCGACTTGAGGTTGGTCAGCTCCTTCCAGCGCGGCTGCAGGATGCCCTTTCGATCGAGCATGCGAGAGAACTTGAAACGATTCTCGGCACAGTCAATGGAGTCCGGGGAAGTGCCCAGAACCTTGGCCTGCTGCCTGTGCAGATCCATGGCAATGTTATTGGGCAGCTGGCCGCCCATCGAGAGGATGATGCCCTCCGAGGATTCCAGTTCGTAGATGTCCATCACCACCTCAAAGCTAATCTCCTCGAAGTACAGCCGGTCGCACATGTCGTAGTCGGTGGAGACTGTCTCCGGATTGTAGTTGATCATTATGGTGGGCTTCTGCAGCTTGCGCAGCTCCCGCAGGCAGCCGACGGCACACCAGTCAAACTCCACAGAGGAGCCAATGCGATAGACGCCCGAGCCCACGACAATGATGTGTCCGCCGGGGAACTCCACGTCATGCTCGATGCCGTGATAGGTCGTGTACAGATAATTTGTGCTCGCTGGCCACTCGCCGGCCACGGTGTCGATCTGCTTCACAAACGGACGAATGCCCAGCTCGTGACGCTGCTGGCGCACCACTAGCTCTGTGCTTTTGGTTGCCTTCGCCACCTGCTTGTCGGAGAAGCCCAGACGCTTGGCCTTCAGCAGCTGCTCGATGCCCAGCTGCCTGGGTGTGGCATTGAGACGCTTGAGATGGTGGTAGTACAATATAATTCGTTCCAGTTTGTGCAGGAACCACTGATCGATGTTGGTCAGTTGATGCAACTCCTGGATGTCCATGCCCCTGGCCAGGGCAGCGGCCAAGAAGAAGGGCCGCTTGTCTGTGGGCTCCGACAACTGATCTGCGAGCTGCTGCTCATCCACGACCACAACGTCCGCATCGAAGCCCAGCACATCGCTGTCAACCATGCGCAGAGCCTTCTGGAAGGCCTCCTCGAAGCTGCGTCCAATGGACATCACCTCGCCCACGCTCTTCATGGAGCTGCCGATGTGCTTGCTGACGCGCGTGAATTTGGCCAGATCCCAGCGCGGTATCTTCACCACACAGTAGTCGAGGGAGGGCTCAAAGCAGGCCGTCGTATTGCCCGTGACCGAGTTCTTGATCTCCGTCAGGGGCAGCCCCAAGGCCAGCTTGGCGGCCACATAGGCCAGGGGATAGCCGGTGGCTTTGCTGGCCAGCGCCGAGCTGCGCGACAGTCGCGCGTTCACCTCAATGATGTAGAACTGCTCCGAGTGGGGGCACAGCGCATACTGGATGTTGCACTCCCCCACAACGCCCAGATGCCGGATGACCTTCAGGGCGGTGTTGCGCAGCATTTGATACTCCCGATCCGAGAGGGTCTGCGAGGGCGCCACCACAATGCTCTCGCCGGTGTGAATGCCCAGCGGATCAAAGTTCTCCATGTTGCAGACGGTGATGCAGTTGTCGAAGGCATCGCGTACCACCTCGTACTCGACCTCCTTCCAGCCTTTCAGTGACTTGTCCACAATCAGCTGGCTGGAGTGGGCCAGCGCCTGTTGGGCCAGGCTTTCCAGCTCCTGTTCGTTGTTAGCGAAGCCAGAGCCCAGGCCGCCCAGCGAGAAGGCGGCTCTGGCCATCACCGGATAGCCGAGACGTCCGGCCGCCTCCAGGGCTTCGGCCACCGAATATACGGCCTCCGATGGCGCCACCTGCTCCCCAATATCGTTGACACGCTGTGCGAAAAGCTTGCGATCCTCCGTTTCGATGATCGACTGAATGGGCGTGCCCAGAATGCGAACATTGTACTTGGCAAAGACGCCAGCGCGGTCCAGTTCCACGCCGCAGTTGAGGGCCGTCTGGCCGCCGAAGGTGAGCAGCACACCGTTGGGCCGTTCCGATTTAATTACCTCCTCCACGTAGTGCGGTGTGAGGGGTAGGAAATAGCACTTGTCTGCCATTCCCTTTGAGGTCTGCACAGTGGCGATGTTTGGATTGATGAGCACCGTCTGGATGCCGCACTCGCGCATCGCTTTGATCGCCTGCGAGCCGGAGTAATCGAATTCGCCCGCCTGGCCAATGGACAGGCCGCCAGAGCCCAGGATGAGCACTTTGCGCGGCTTTGGCTGGACGGGCACATGCTTGGCGGGACGCAGTCGTCGCGCTATCAGCTCCGGCACACTCAGCTGGGGATTGCTGATCGATTCCATAAAGACATCGAAGAGGAATTCAGTGTCGCAGGGTCCGGCATGGTGCTCCGGATGGAATTGCACTGAGAAGTAGGGCTTGGAGCGGTGGACAATGCCCTCGTTGGTGCCGTCATTGGCATTCACAAAGAGCTCCTCCCAGTCCCCGGGCAGATCCTGCAGATCCACTGCATAGCCATGGTTCTGTGAGGTCATCAGACAGCGACCGGTGGCGCGGTGCAGGCAGGGCAGATTGTGGCCACGATTGCCGTACTTCATCTTGTAGGTGGAGCAGCCAATGGCCTTGGCCAGCAGTTGGTGGCCCAGGCAGATGCCAAAGATGGGCTTCGTGCCGGCCTCAATGACGCGTCGCACCTGCTGAACAATTGAGTCGCAGCTCTCCGGATTGCCGGGCCCGTTGGACAGGAAGAGGGCATCGTACTCGTCGTCCCTAAGCTCAGAGCTCCATGGCAGCAACTGCACGGAGGCGCCACGCTGCAGCAGACAACGCAGCTGATTGAGCTTCAGGCCGCAGTCGATGATTGCGATTCGAGGACCCTTGCCACTCTTGACATCTCCGAAGACCATCCTCTGCTGCACACTGCACTCCTGGGCCAGATTACGGCTGTTGGGATCCTCGAATATCAGTTTGGTGGGCCCCTCTTTTGGGGCCTCGTACACTATGCGACCCAGAAGGCTGCCCTGTTCGCGCAGCTTTTTGGTGAGGGCGCGTGTGTCCACGCCACTGATGCCGGGCACCTTGTGCTGATGCAGCCACTTGGGCAGCGTCTGAGAGCTGCGCCAGTGCCAGGCGCACTCGGCCACTTCGCCCACCACAAGGGCAGTGGCCTGGACGGCCCCCTTGAGCCACTCAAAGTGCTTGGGCAGGCCGTGTTCGTCCTCCTCCTCGCCGGGTACTCCATAGTTACCAATTAGCGGGTAGGTCAGCACCAGAATCTGTCCACTGTACGAGCGATCTGTCAGCGCCTCTGTGTAGCCGACCATGCCCGTCTGGAAGACAACTTCGCCACCCACGACCTCATCTTTGGCCACATGGCCGAAGGACAGGCCCGGCATGACAGTGCCATCCTCCAGCACCAGATAACAGTCCACTTGTCGCATCTTTATCCTGTATCCTGCATTCACAAAAGATATAAAGGGAGATAAAGAGATTTGTTAAACATAGTTCCACAGCAAACCGAGGAGGAGGAGCATTGTGAGACGCGCTGAAACGCGGGACAACTTGTATACCCGTTACTCAGTCGTAAAGGAATTTCGCTTAAAATTTATAAATACCTCTCACATCTAATATACCCCTTAACTCTTCGTGTACTGGGTATACAAAAAATGTATATACGCACTTGAGAATTACATATGTATATATATATATATTTATTTGTGGGCATATTCGGAAAAAGCAAATAGATATTTTATTTTACAAGTATCTAGTCATTCCGATCCAGAACAGATTTGCATACATTTATACGGTTAGTTATACTCCTTTTATTCGACAAGTGCAGGGTAGCTAGAGTACCGTTTAACTTAAAATCAAACGTGCTATTGTCATCACACACACACGCAAATGCACACAAGAAACTCTCTCACGCACATTCGTCTGCACCTTGCTCTGTCGCACTTGTTTGTTTTGCTATGTCTGGCGGCAACATGTTGCTTGCGGTGATCGGAGTGGGACTGTGTGTTTCTTTTCACTCTACAATCAGCGCCTTATCACAATATAAAAACTTAAGACAGTTTAAAAACACTGCCACGACTTGCGTGGAGATTTTTGTTAAATCAAAAGTTAACCAAAATAAATTGAAGCATGCGTGGAGAGATTTTGTAAATCCAAAACGACCCAACATAATACAAAAGAACTGAATTCAATTAAACGCTTCGATGTTTACCACAATATTCCACTGCTTGTGCGAGTGTGTGGAAGCGCACGTGTGAAGAAGTTGAACTTGAAACCGGTTCATACCCTAACAAAGTACAGAAAATGCGAAATCCAATGCGTATTTTAAGTATGTTAAATTCATACAACAAATGTCGTCATTATGAATTAAATGTTTTAAATTTTGCGGTATATTCCTTGGCTTTTTAGATGCACTCACACAGACGACTCTTTCGTATACAGAGTTTCGATGCAGCCTGCAGTTGTAGTTGTAGATGGAGAGCACGTGTACACGTGTGTGATAAAGCTTTTTAGTGGTACTGCCTCACTTGATGTCCAATCAATGTTGTATTTATACCGCTACGAAAACTTGATTTGTGTGGCATTTAATGCCGCTTATATTTATATCAATTAACCAAAGGGTAGGAACTATATGGCGCAGCAAGGCAACCAAATTCGCCGCCTAAGTTGTTTTCTTCTTCTTGTTGAGCTCCACTCGGGTTGGAGAGAGAGAGAGAGAGAGAGACATTGCGAGAGAGTGCCTAACGCGTGGCCAGAAAATGATTAACGCGTTCTCAAAATACTTCAACCGCGCTTTGGACATTTCAAAGTCAAGGCTTGCAATATTTACTCGACAAAGATGAATGCAATTTCAAATTACACTCATATTTATGAAGCCATACAAACTTAGGATTTAAGCTTGACTAATTATAGTTATATTTTGTTTTATATTTTTGTTCCCAAAGTCCCGAAGAAAAGGACGGTCGTGACTTACTCTGAGGGGCATCCGTTTCTTAGGCAGCTCCTGCTTCATGTTTTGCTCGTAGATTTTCTAGGATGTGCTGCAGTGAGTCAGCGTTGTACATGCCACAAACGAAATCTCATCAGCCTGAAGGCTGTGGACAACGGAGGCCATTAGGTAATAGCATTAAAACGTATAGTACCTACCCTGAGTAATGCCTTGATATGACATTGGTCTTGGTAGGCTGGTAGGCCACTGGTAAAATTAGTTATATAGCCGCTAACACACAATAACTTATATTAATGTAAGCTTTTAAGCTAAGTTTTTTTATCCAATGCGACTACAATCATTTTCAGGGCGCTGTAATTCGTTTCTTCAAATACAGATATTTCTACCTGTTGATATTTATACTCAGCTGCAGGCTTTACAATGGATTTATATTTTTAATACTGAGCAAAATACACATTTAGCCGGCGATAGCATTGTCGATAGGCAATGCAGCTGGTCTCGCAGTGCTGTAAAATGCATTTGAACCAGAACTGAAACCCATTGATACATCGATATATCAGGCGAAATCTTAAAAATAATTGTATTATACATTTACAAAGTGGTACACAGCTTAATAAACTGAATGCTTTCGTGCTTCTATCCAGGAGTGGATAATTTATTATTATATATTTTAGATCTCAAAGGCTAATTAAATGTGCAGCAAAAGACCATCGATCTATCGCACAGTTTTAAACTGTCGGTACTATCGGACACTTTCGATGGTTATGCAGCACCAATTCGAACAGCTGTCTTCTGTTTACAAACTTAAAACAAAAGAAAATGTTACCAATATGAATCATATTTATTCCGTAAGATATACGGCACAGAAAATATGCCAAAGGTGCCGACAGCAATCTGGCAGAAATCCGGATACGAGAACCGTTACTGTGTGACCAAATCCAAGCTCGACGCATTGTGAGGTGCGGGCTAATGCCCATCGGTCAGCCGCCTGTAGATTTAGGATGTATCATACCCGTTACTGGAAGAGTAAATAGGGTATATTGTATTTGCAATCGAAAGCGGATGTACATACATAAATAAATATGTAAAGCACAGAGGGAAACGTTTACGAGTCCATTAAGTATACATACTGTTTGAGATGAAAGATGAAAGATATAGAAAAATTTAAAATATAATATTCGAAAAATATCATAAGGTTCAATTTAATTGAGTACCTGGTACACAATTTGTGACGCGTACGAACGCATCGCACAACGTTCCCCATCGTTTTTGTATACGAATGTTGTGGTTGTTTGAGGCATAAGTTGTGCTCCGATGGCCAATAGCTATTAGCACACAGTTAGACAGGGACACCACTCAAACAGAAAAAGCGAGAGTGAGAGAGAGAGAGAGATGGGAAATGTGAACAACAAAAAATTAAGCGTACCATTTATACGATTTTGAAAATGATGAGAAACCAAAACTAAACGAGATTTGCCTGCCGGCCTGCCTCCGTCTTCACTGCTGTAAATTATCCAACGCAAATCCCAAATTGGGGTCACCTATCTGCTGGTCACACTCCTCCCCCCAATGGCCACCAGCTACGCCCGCAGAAATTGCATGTACATAGATTTTAATTTAATGCCTGGAACAATTTATTACTGCGCTGACATAATTCAAACTCAATGGCGTTGGGGATGCGACCGGTGGCAGTGGCAGTGGCGGTGGCGTCTCCACGAGAGCACGTTGCCTTTATGGCCGTATTTATAGCCCTGGCTCTCATTCCCTCATTCTACCATTTTATTTCATTCTTTTCGAGTTTGGGAATTGTCAGGCTTCAAGTGCTCGTTGGACATGGACATGGGACATCGTCTGGGTCGATGCTGTGCCCGGGTGTTTGGGTCTGGTCTCTATTGGGAAGTTCCACTGGGGATTTGTGTGAAAATGATTATAAATCGTTTTTTAATTATACTTGTCCGCATATTTTCTCATTTTCCGAAATAGAATCCTATCCATCGCAAACACACATTGTGCGACAATTCTATTCAAATCCTAATATTATTGTCCAGCACAGAGTCTGGGTACGTCTGCCACAGACAGCTTGCCCCAAATACCCAAGTGATGAAGAGATTTAAAACGAGCGAAATGGCTACAATATCTGCTAGAGTCTCGACCGAGAGGTACCCACTGAATTGCTGTTAGACTGGGTGTTTGAAAATCAATTGTTAGGCGGCGGCTAGTGAACTGAACTGATTGCCTCCATAATCGGATGACTGCGAGTTTGATTTACCTAACATTTTCAATCCGCTTCTTGAAGGATTTCCTTATTCTAAATACGTTTTTCGGATCATGGGTTTATCCCCGATCACCTCAATACCGGGTTAACGAACCTCTTTTGCTGGGATTCGTTGAGGGCTGTTAATTTAATTATACAACGGGCGGCCAGTGAGTGAGTGGTCTGTGCCAACAAGCCGCAGCATGTCCGCTGGTTTCTAAAATAATAATGGCTACCTAACGTCCGAGGGGCCAGAGGTTGCCAATTACAGGTAGGCAGCCTTATCGATAGGCTCTTATCGCTGAACGGTCGGATTATCCCGTCGGAGTCGAAGTTTCTGCAAGTGTTGGCAGTTGACCTTTGGACCCTATTATGAGCGGCTTGTCCGTTATGCACATTTCAGCAATTTACAGCTATCTATGGCTGCACACGATGCATACATAAGTACATATGTATGTACATATGTGTGTTTGTATACTGCTGATATTCCGGCTGGCTGTTGTTCCCGTTAATCTCTCTTCTGCTGCTCTGCTTCGCTGTTGCTGCGTACCTGCTGTTGACTTGCTGTTAACGTGTGACTGTTTTTTCTGTTGCTCTGCTGCTACTTAAAATGTTAGGCTTAATGGCAGTTGTCCCCGTTAATCTTCTCCAATTCTGCTGCTCTGCTTCGCTGTCGCTGCTTTCCTGCTGTTAACGTGTGCCTGATTATACTGTTGCTCTGCTGTTCTGCAGCTGCTGTTGTTTTGCTGTTACATATGTAAATATGTATGTCTACAAGTACGAACATAAAATGGATACCTGCCAGAACGTAAGGATTCGCTGAAGTTCCTTTATTTGCAGCCCTCGGTTGAGGCGTCGCCGCAATCCCTAACGCTGATCCCTTTGTTTACATCGACGGTGGCGAACCCATCGCTGGATACCAGGTAGGCGGCACACCCCAAGAAAAACAAGATCATAAAAGTTTGAGTCGCCCAGGCGGGGTGGCGGCCATTCATGAACAGACCTGCAGCGTTGTGGCCGTGGCCACCCCAGCTACCTGGTTTCTATAAAAGCGAGGCGTGACCGACTGAGGGGCAGCACAAGCCTTGCACATCTCGACGAGAGCACACGACACACGAGAGACACACCCAAAGCCATGGAACAGAGCCAACTCTATTTGCATAAATTCTACGCCCAGGCCATCCCAAGGCCCCTCCTAGTCAGCAGCCCTGGCCTTCATCATCCGCAGCCCGGCAGAGCGGCGGCCACGCAACAACAGCCCGAGCATATTGACGAGCTGGTGGCTCTGGAACTGCAGCAGCTAAAGACTCACTACGCCGACGAGGAGCAACGATATGTGGACCAGATGCTGCTCGCGAATCCCATTGTGGTGGAGCGACGGGCGCAGCCCAAGTCGGAGACAGCATTCCCGACAGAGGCAACCAGGCCAGTGGCAACACCCTCGCCCGCACCGGCAGCCGCAACCACGCCGACACCCGCACCCACAATGCCCAGCAGTCGTCACGACACGCAGCGTCAGAGAGCCGAGTCCTGCCGCAAGTCGCGCTACAACAACAAAATCAAGAAGGCCAAACTGCGCTTCCGGCACAAGTTCGTCAGCAGCCAGCTGACGGAGAGCGTCGGCGTGCTGGACCACATGCGGGAGGTGATTGCCCAGGCGGAGGCGCAGCTGCTGGCGCGTGGCTTCAACGTGGGCGCCCTGGAACGTATGCGCAGGAATTTCGGTATAGATCGCTCCACGACAACGGCCATGGACCAGTGATTTCCTGATTCCCTTCACTCTCTACCTTAAGACACATTTTTTTTTGCAACTTGTTAATTTTTCGATTGATAGCATAAATATTATTAGTATTTAAAACCAATTACAAATATTGTAAATAAAAATGTTAACAGAAACGAAATTTGATTTGGTTTTTTATACCCGGTACTCGAAGAGTAAATAGGGTATATTGTATTTATTTCCGACCCCATGGAGTATATATATTCTTGATCAGCATCAATAGCCGAGTCGATTGAGCCATGTCTGCCTGTCCGTCCGTACGTCCTGATGAGCGCCTAGTACTCAGAGACTATAAGAGCTAGAGCCAACAAATTTCGCATCCATACTTCTGTATGCTCACACTGTTACAAGTGTATTTAAAAAATGAAAACTCCCAAAACCATTCCGTAGGGAATGGCCATATCTATCAGATCACCAAATTGGGATCCGATTGGATCATTATTATAGCCATAATGAAGAAATCAATTTGCAGTGGCTAAACCCACCCTGTCCCGCAGCTTTTGTTGTTTTCTCCACATTCCTTTTCACACTCAGCCGCACTCTGCCGCTAAGGTGCAGATGTAGTACTGCGTGCCGGGTATAAAAGTTGTGACGCGTAAGAAGCGTCTCACACGTACCTTCTCGTTCTTTTTGTTGTTATTTTGGATGAATACATCTTGGCGAGGGCCATTGAATGACCCCTGGCGTTGCTTTTCCACATAAAGAGTTGAGCAAAGAGTTAACTAACGGATTCGAGAGGCATCGAAATGCATTCGACGCTTTTATTCATGAATTTTCAATTGATTTTGATGCTCCATTCGCGAGCAATTCTTTACACAATTATGCAAGACACTGGCAACTGATTTTATGCAATTTTAGAAGAGACTTTAAAGGTCTTGATCGGGATCGCCTGCAGCTTGAAAGTGCTGTACCATTTGCAGATGTTCAGTGTCCTGGAATTCGAAATGTGCTTAAGTACTTATTGTTAGTATTCCCCAATTATTACAACAAATTCGACAACATTTGGAGTCAATTTTGGTTGCTTTCACTTTGCATTGAAGGCTTAAGCAACTCCCCTCGAGTTGCATGTTTTGTCTTGTATTTCAGCTGTCATTCAGCCTGGTTAAGTTCAGTTCATTTGCTCCGACATTGCACTGATTGCACTCTGATTTCACCCTACGACACGGACAGCTCCTCTGTGGCCCAAACTCACTGCTGATGGATTTGCTAAGTTCAATTTTGTTGACTAGTGTTTCTGATTTTCTTTTCCGCTGTTCCGCTGTTCCTCTTTTTGTTTTTTTCGCTTGCGAACAATTTGCGTTGCCAAAAGAAGTAAATGCAATGGAAGTAATGGCTTTTGGGGTGGGCGAAGCGAATGCGAATGCGTTTGCGAATGGGATTGTGGCTGTGGCTGTGGCTGCCTGTCTCTGTCATTTAGTGATGGCTGCAAACCAGGGAAGATAAAGAGCCACTGGCTTATCGAAAAGTGTATGTGTCCGCCGCTGAAAGTATAAAATGCATTTCCCTGTGTAACCATATTTGCATGGAGAAAGCATATTTTTCGAACAAGATTTTAGGGATTAGCTAGAAAAGTGCTGGGTAATCTCTGCGCTGCATTGGTATGCTTTTCGGGCACTTAGTTTTTATGGATTTTCCGGACAAAAGAATGCACTTTACCACAGTGGCCAATCGACGATGCCTGCTGGTTTTCACGTGCCAGGTTACAAATGATTTCATTCCTTCCTGGATGCACTCGCCGCACCATTCCGATGCCCATTCCCACTACCTCCGACGTGCGGCTTTCACTCACTCAAGTGCACACAACGGTGCCCGTCATAATAATAAATGAGTAAACCGCTTTCACGACTCTCTCTCTCTCTCTCTCTCTCGCTCTTTAAACCTCTGTCTCCGGAAAAACTTCAATTTGATTTTATCGCCGGGCCATAAAAGCAGAGCCCCGCCCATTTAGCACAGCTCGTCTCAGTGCTGAATGCAGTTCGGTCCAAGATGGACAATGGGTGCGGCTACTGCACGCAAAACATTTACGAACCATCCATCCATTCATCCATATTCCTCCTTCCGTCGATCTCTGAGACTTTAAGAGTCATGCCACAGCTCCGGTGGAAAATGAAAGCTCGAGAAAAGAGAAGCAGAAAGGCGAAATCAGCCTCTCTCTCTCTCTCTCTGCATGGATTATTTTTCGGACTTCTCTTCATGTTTTTGTGTGGCTTGTTTGCTGCTTGTAAAATGAGTAAAACGAGTTGTTACCTCGCTAGTTTTTGCGTTTAATTTCGATATGTTCCACGTGCCCATCTCTGGCTTGGTAGCAAATGAGAAAAGTGGAGACCAGCCAAGGAGATGTGCCAGAATGAGGTTGTGCTTCCTAGGCAGTTGCCATTGTCTAGGGAACATACCTGCCAGGGCAGCGATAAAAACTTGCCATTGTCCGTGCCAACTGTGCGCGGCGGAGTCCTCAACAGCGAGTCCTTCCATTCACTGCACGTTTCTAATGCGATGAATTGCTTTTTAAATTTTCCAATTTTCCAATTTTCCAATTTTTATTTTTTTTTATTTTCAAAACTACTCACAGACACACATGCACGGGCACGGGAATGGGCACGCACAGCTCGAGTAGATCGAGTGTTGGAGAGAGGAGTTGAAGTTTATTGATGGCAGTTTTTGTTGCTCTTGTCAGCGGACAGCAGTGGCCGACAGCAGTGGGACGTGACCGCTTACAGAGTACCTGTAAATACATACAGGCAGAGAAAACTGCTTTGGTGCATAAAAACAAAATAAGAGGTAGAAAACGCAAACACCCAAGAACTATTACATTAAAGTAGCTGCCATGGAAAGAATCAGTCGAATAATAACAAAACGTTCAATAACTCAGTGAGCAACAGCAGCAACAGCAATGTTAGCACCGAAGGCTAGCAGCCTGTTATCTCGCTCAGTTACAGCGCCTGTTACCTGTAACACTTGGAATGTTCAGGGCACCAGCTCGAGCAGAAGAGCAACAGCTATGTTAGCGCCGAAGGCTAACAGCCTTCAGCCTAACAGCCGATCACAGCTGCAGAGGCAGTTGGTGGTGCGCTAACATAATGTTAGTCAGAATAGCAGTGCTGTAACATTATGTATGTTACCGTTATGTATGGCCATTTCTCTGCCGAGCTCCACCAAGGAAAAACAATTAAATCTGCAGCAGCTACATTCAGTGCTACGAATATCTAATAATAGACACCATAACTAGTAATTCCATGTTCTGTGATACAAGACAAACATTCGGCAACCAGAGTGCCAGTTGGATCGTGTCTTCCCCCCCAGCAAATCTCCACTTCCGCTTTTCTTTGGCCTTTTTGCCAGGATTCACGCGTTAAGCCACGTTGATTTAGCAATGAACCAGGGGGGCAAATGGACAACAAAAGGGCGGAAGAAGTTATGGGGTGGTTCCCCATAGGGTAGAGCCCTGCGATGTTTGCCAAGGACTTTGACTTGCTGACACAACGAGTCTCTAATTACGCGCAAGCAAACAAACAAAATTGCAGGTGTCAAAACAGGGACAAAACACTGCCGAAGCAGTGGCAGTGGCAGTGGCAAATGACCCAACCGGGAGGACTTCTTGAGTCATTTGTCATATCAAAGGCAAGACGAATGGCAGTCCAAATCCTGCTCCTGCTGCTGCTGCTGCTGCTGCTGCTGCTCCTCTCCGTGGGAAACGCTTCTATCAGCGTGGAGCTAAACCAATTGGATGATTTGATGGCGGTGCCCACACGGGACCTGCCACAGGTGCAGCTGTGGCTGCGTCTGCGGCATCAGCATGGGGATGCCGCCAATGTGTATGTCCATTGGTTTCTGCATCGCTCCCAGCTGCCGCTTATCGTGCGGGTCTACGAGTGGGAGCAGAATCAGTGGCTGGACGATCCGTTTGGTCGGGAAAATCTGGTGCTGGTCATGACACTGGCGGAGCTCATCTCGAATCGTGGTGCAGCCGGTCCCAGCCAGCGGGCCGGCGTCTTTCTCTACATCCTCGCCGATCAGAGTGAGGCACTCACAATGCGGCAGCAGCTGCAGCTGGAGGAGAGCTGCCGACAGCTGTGGATGCGCCAGAAGATCTACAATCGCTACATTCTCTCCCTGGAGGGCATCTGGATCTTTGATCCGTTCCAGCGTCGGGCAGAGGCCTTCGGTCGCTTGGTTATCTACACGGGCCAGGAGCCGCTGTCCAAGCATCTCTTCCACGACATGGCCGGCTATCCGCTGCGCGTGCAAATGTTCAAGTCCGTCTTCACGCGGACGCAGCTGGACCCGGGCTCGGGCCAGCTGGTCAGTGTGACGGGCGTGGACTACCTGGTGGCCCAGATGCTCCGCGAGAAGCTCAACTTTACGCTGCTGCTGCAGCAGCCGGACAAGAACTACTTTGGGTGGGTGCTCCCACTCGAATGATTCATCCCCACGAATGATTCTCTTCTCTTCTTTGCAGCGAACGCAGTGCAAATGGCAGCTACAATGGGGCCATCGGCTCGATCATTCGGGATGGACTGGACATCTGTCTGACGGGCTTCTTCGTGAAGGATTATCTGGTGCAGCAGTACATGGACTTCACGGTGGCCGTCTACGATGACAGCCTGTGCATCTATGTGCCCAAGGCGCATCGCATACCCCAGTCCATTCTGCCCATCTTTGCCGTGGGCTATGACATCTGGCTGGGCTTCATCCTCGCGGCCTTTGGCTGTGCCCTCATCTGGCTGGCGCTGCGCGTGGTCAATCTGCACCTGAGGATTGTCAGGCTGCGTCACCAGCGGCTCTACAAGCAGGCTCTGGGCATAGTGGTGGACACGTGGGTGGTGTGGGTGCGCGTGAATCTGTCCAGGCTGCCCACGAGCTATGCGGAGCGGGTGTTCATTGGGTCGCTGTGCCTGGTGAGCGTGATCTTTGGGGCCATCTTTGAGTCGAGCCTGGCCACGGTGTACATCCATCCGCTGTACTACAAGGACATCAATACGATGCAGGAGCTGGACGACAGCGGTCTGAAAGTCATCTACAAGTACAGCTCCATGGCGGATGATCTGTTCTTCAGCGAAACGTCGCCGCTGTTTGCCAGCCTCAACAAGAAGCTGTCCTGGAACCACGACCTCTATGCGGATGTCATCGCTGATGTGGCCCGCAATGGGGGCAAGGCCGGCGTCTCTCGCTACAACTCCCTCATGCTGGAGTCCTCCCTCTTCATTTTGCTGCGCCGCATTTGGGTGGTGCCGGAGTGCCCCAAGTCCTATGCCATTTCGTATGTGATGCCGCGCGACTCGCCCTGGGAGGATGCCATCAATGCGCTCCTCCTGCGCCTCCTCAACGCCGGCCTCATCGTTAAGTGGATCGCGGACGAGAAGTCCCGTGTCGACATCGAGATGCGCGCCCGCACCCTGGAGGCCAATGCCGAGGCCGAGCTCGCGCGCGTCCTCACCATCGGTGACCTACAGTTGGCCTTCTATGTCGTCCTCGGTGGCAATCTGCTGGCACTGCTCGGCTTCCTGCTGGAGCACCTCTGGCGCAGAATCTTCCACTGAAGTTTGATGTTCCAATTACTTTATTTGCATCGATTTCAACACTCCCAAAAGCGTTTCTCGAATTTTTCCTTGCAGTTCTTTGACATGTCCCACAAATAAACAACCAAAGCAGAGGGCACTGCACACATATGTACACATTATGTATTTATGTATGTATTTATGTAGATACTTATGTAGAATTTGGCAAATATGCAAACTCATTCAGTCTGAAATTCGTTGAACATTTGCAACTTTTGCCTGCAACGTTTGCAAATTTCATTTGCCAAAGGCCAGCGGGCCAAATGAAAGCAGAATTAAACACACACACACACACACACACACACACCCGGGGCGCACCGGGCCCATATAATTTAGCCAAGTTAACAATGATACGCACCAGCTGCTGTTCTGGCGGCCAGGGGGAAGCAGTTGCAGGCAGCCTCCAAAATGCAGTTTTCAATTCAAGGTTCCCATTGAATTTGCAAAAGGTACAAAGACAGTGGCCACTGGCTATGAGCTACCAGCCACAATCATTTGTAAGTGGATCCACAAAGAGCTCTGTTAGTCCCCCCCCTGTAGCCGCTCACATTTGTTCGAATTACTTTCAACAAGTTAATTTTGTTTGCCTTTGTGCTGGTCTCTACTGTGCCCATGCCCAATGTGCTTCAGCTCACTCACAAATGCGTCAATCGGTCACATCCAATATGTGTTTATTTGGCATTTCAGTTGCTGCACACGAAATGACAATTAAACAGCCGCAAACAGCGACGCATCCGGCAACCAATGGTCCTGCTGGATATAACAGTTCATTTAAGCATTCGAATTCCCCCACACAAAGAGAGAAAAATGTTCATGCGGACCAGCTCTGGCACTGATGTCTTGAACATTGCCAATCATTTCAACATTTTCCACATTTAATTACAGTTGGAAACAATGCCAATTGTTGCTCAGAAGCTGAATCAGGGATGCTTTTCCTACGGAAACGATACGAAATCCTCCAGCAGGTGTCGCCACGGGCCTTCTGCAGTGTAAACAGCCATCAAAAAAATGTCATGAGGAAACCTGAGGAAAAAACGAGTTGGCAGCTCGTTCGGTAAGCAAGCAGGCCCGGTGCTCAATGTCAAAATCTTTACTTTTGTTTTCACACAACGGAAAGAAGCCGGACCAGCTGGAGTTTAACAATTTGAAAAGCTCCAACTATTCGCAGGAGAACGGTGAGTAAGTGTGTAGATTTGGGATGGTGAAGCGCATGATTGGCAGACTCCTTACAATTGCCGCTTTGGCTTTGCAGGTAGCAGAGCAACAAGAAAAAAAAACAACAAAAAAAGCGGCGAGCTCTCAAGGAAAATTAGAAATTAAATCAAGATGGATAAGCCTGCCCCTTCAACGACAAGCAAGGAGAGAATGGAAATCAAGGAGCGTGAAATTAGGGAAGAATCGCGTAAATTTCGAAAATCTGTCAGCGAGAAAATTGGCCAATTTGTCAAAGATGATAGGCCGTACATAGAGTTTGAGGCCGTGGATTGTAATCAGTACATGGCCGTTTATGACATTGCTGCGAGTGCTGGCCTCGTATCGCTGCTATTCGGTGGCCAATCGGTGGTATACAAGAATAAGCATTATCCCAGCGCCGATGAGATGGAGGCGCGAATGAACGGCGAAGGCTGGAACGAGAAGATAGCCCAGAAATATGCCGAAAAAAGAAAACTGCTAGTGGCCCAGAAGCAAACGTCTAAGGCTGCCGAGCCGGAACCGGAACCGGAACCGGCAGCCAAGAAGCCCAAGACTGCTGGTATCAAACGAAAGGCTAAGGCTATCGAGAACCCACCAGACGCCAAGAACAAATAGCAGAAAGGCCAGAGCTACTTTTTTTTTGGATTCCAACATAAGATCAACCAAAATGAATCATTTAAAAAGGAGCGCACAACAATAAACACATAAGCAAGCGTTATTTACTCTGTTTTTATTTAGTTGAAACTATTTTTATGGGTGGGGTGGGGTGGGGTATGCAGTGTGGATACTGAGTAGGAGGAGTAGCTCCTGCCGTCCACTCCCATACATAATTATGTATGCGTCTCGCTAAGGGTTACGTTTACGTGACGGGAATGCTTATGAAGTGGCCGGTGAGTTTTTCTGATTTAAACATCGCCCAAACTTGTGCTACTTGCTGTCGCTGTGGTGGAAAAAATGTCAGTTTAATGATCTCCTGAATAGGCAATGAACAATCACGTAGTAACTTTTCGCTGTTGGTCAGCAAGCGATCCTGACACATTTATGGCTTTGATTGACTTTCGATTTCGTGTCCACAGCCAGTAAAAGCCATGGCCAAAAAGAGTACGTAAGTAAACGGCACCACATGGATGAATCGGTTTATCCAGAAATTGTGACACCGAAAGACACAAATCGTACAATTGGTTGGATAAAAAGACCCACGGAGTAGAGCTGGAGTGGTATGCACTGCTGCTGCCTGGCGGCACATCGCAGAATCGTTGGAATTCCGAGACTGGAGCGGCTAAAAATAAACCAAGTCGAATGGGAAAAAAGTGGGAATCGAGAAACGAGAAGAACAAAATTACCAAATACAAACGAAACCGGCGCTGCGAGCGCGCTCTCCTTGAAAAACAACCAAAGAAAATTTTGGTTTATTTCCAAATCATAACTTTTGTTTATCTTTAGCTGGTTCTGGTGCTGGTTCTGGTCTGCCGTTGCCCGATTCTAAGCCAGCTGCGGCTGCTTCTTCTAGGTCTCTCCGCTCCTCTTCGTTCAGTTAGGAACTAGAGATGGCAAACTGGCATGAATCGTGCGTGACTGCACGTGCTAACAGAAATAATAACAAATAGTTCACACGAACTTGCATTGCTCTGAATTTAGATATTTAGGTTTTTGGTGCATTTTTATTTTTTCTTATTCCGATTTTTGGCGTATTCTTGGATACTTTTTCCTATTTCCTGAGTTGGTAATTACAGCTCTAAAAGCTAATGTAAAGAGAGACCGTTAATCCAGTTCGTGCGCTCTGTTTCTGCCTCGAAGATCACCATCTCTAGAGTGGGTTCTCGACTGTGCGCTGCTGCCTCGGGCCGCTGCTTCTGCTGCTTCTGCTGCTGCTGCTTCTGCACACAGCCTCTCTGTCCGCGACCGCATTCGGTGTCGTCGTCGTTGTCGTCGCTGCAGCAGCAGCCAACAGCCAACAGCCAGCCACAAGGCAAAAGAGCGAAACTCATTCCGATCCGTTCCGTTTTTTCCATACGCCGGCTAAGTGTATTTATTTTTAATAACAATTTTATTGCATTTGGCTCCATAATTCCCGTAGTCGCGCGTGTCTGTTTCTGTTCATTTTTGGCACTGCCGTCTAAAAATCTGATTAGAAAAACCATTCCCATTCAGTTGGTCAGCATTCGGTTGGCAGAGAGCGCCGCGTGCCGAAGTGAATTTTTAGTCTCCAAAGTCTCCACAGCTCTGCTCCTTGGCAACTACTCCCTCCTCAGCAAAGACTAAACTCTACAATTCTATTGCCTTTTTTTTTTGTGTGTGTAAAAAATACAAATTCATTGGTGATATTAAAATTAAATGCAGAAAAAACAATTAATTTTCACGAATATAATAATATTTGTTACCCGTGTTTTGTGTTATTGTTTTTTACGGTGAGTACATTTCACATACATTTCCCCTCTCTTTCCACTGCACCATGGTCACAGCGAACACTTTTGTTGGCCAAAATTTTTGATATTTTGATTCGGTTTGTGAGACCTTAACAGCTGCACTTTATCACTGCACGTGCATCTGTAAAGATCTCATCTATTTACATAAGAAAATTTCGGATGCGCAACTTGGACCACCTTTGGCCATACTCCACATATTTCTTTAAATATATGTTTTGACCCACAAAAGTGGGCACTGGTACCATAGTACATTGTCTCCAGCTGTTTTTGTTGTCTGCTTATGTAGTAGATTCTTGTAAGTTTTTGTTTTTGTCTATTTTTAAGTCGGTTTTTCTCTTTGTGACTTTGTGCATGTTTTCATACAAAACGAAAATGTTGTATTATTCTTGATAGTGAAAAATTATGGTAATTTATTTTGGCTAGCTTCAAATATCTACCACGACTAGTAAATACCCTGGAGCGTTCGATTTTCCTCGATGGCAAATAAATATTTAGTTAAGAATGGATTCAATTCTGTCTTTGCTTTGAACTGCTCAATCCTTCACATTGTTTTTTATGTATATTTGTATTGTTTATGTGTATTTCTTTAGAGATTTGCATACATCTATGGTTTCCGCATAGTATGATACATTTTTACATGTGAACACATCCAAGGAACTCAATTTCCCCTTTAGTATTTTGCAGTTCTGTGGTAAATAGTGAGTTCCTTCAAACACTTTCCCTAGCATACTTTTCAGCCCGACCAAACCAGAGCTGTCGTCTGTTTGGATGCCAAACAACACCATGCATTGCAGGGCACAGACCTTAACCGTGACGTCACTCGTAGAAACATTTTCCAATTACTCGATCGTGTTCGTGTGTGTGTGTGTGTGATTGTTTTAACTTGTTTCTGTGGCGTCGGAAACAAGCCGCAAATTGTTTCAGTCCCCATGGCCGCGCATGGTCATTTTTTTAAATATCGAAAAAGCCACTAATGTATTAAAGCGAATTTATTGAATTTAATTTTCATTTCTGGCTGCCGGTGCCACGCTGCTGGGGGATACGAAAGGCGATTCCAGAGAACAGATTTTGACACCTAGCGTGAGTGGAGGCGGATGTTGGGCACGCCCACCAGCATTCAATTTAATTGGCAATCATAATTATAAATGTGGAAATTATTTATGGGGAAATATACGTTTGTACGTACCAATGGAAATGGGTATGAGGTTCTGATTAATGGACAGGCTCTGCCAGGGTAGCATTGATCGAAAGAATGCGTATTGTACTTCTCCCTCCCTCCTCCCTATTTATACGGCTGTAAAAACTTGTACAAGAAAGTAGAGGTAAGTATAGAGACATTAAGAGACAATACACTTGTACCACTCACGCGGATGACCTTACCTTCCCATTGGTCTTCCCTGCACTGCGCTGCACTGCACTCCATGTGCTCCGGCTGCTCTCTTTCTCTACGTGTCCTCTCTTTGCTTGCCATATGCCATTTACCGTATGGTCTGTCGTTTTCATGCCAGCTGCAACTGTGAATTTACTGTGAATATTTTTTGATTTAGGAGTGAATTGGAAATGGAATAGAGGCGAGCAAGAGGAAGCTTGCATAGTGCAAATGTCAGTTCCGATTATGCAGAGGCCTTGCTCCTTTCTCTGACTCCATGCCAAGTTCTATGCAACTCCCAAAATAAAAAAAAGGGTGGAGTAGTTCTTTGAGTGGCATTTTCTTATGATATATGCACTTGAATTTAAAATTATAATAACGAAATAAATGCATAAGTAAATATCAAAGCATTCGGGACACAGCCAAAGATATTGGGATAGCCATGAGCACTAACCGCTCTTTCGGTTACTCTATTTATCTTCTATGCCCACTCTCTTCTTTCCCTCTCTGACGATCGCAAGTTTCGTGGATGCAATGCTCTCTGGAAATGCTCATTTATGTACATACTTACTCTCTCCACAAAGCTCACGAAGCAGCCGGCCGATCCGAACCGATAACGTACTGATCGTCCACCAAACGGCACTTTTTCTCTCTCTCTCTCTCTCACTATTTAAACCGAAAATTCCATGAGCCGATCGGGCACATTGTTGTACAGTCTTAGAGTCACTGGTGGTACGCCCCCACGATGGAGCACGAAATGGAAAGTAAAAGAAAACATTAACCGGACAGCCATCAACGCAAACAGACGTGAACCAATAGCGGGAAATGGGAAAGGCCATCCAGCGGCAAATCCAAAGTATTTTGCTCTAAACACACAGCCACAGACACTCTCGCAATTGTGCTCGTAATCGTCGTATATTATCAAATTATTTGTGGCTGCATTTAAATGTGAATTTCACTGAACTAATTGAATGGCAGAGCCCCCAGTGAGAAGTTGAACCAAAAGTCGGATTCCAGTTTAGAATTTTTGCATAACACAAAAAAAAAACAAGTGCAACATTGTGCGGTCAGTACGCGATATAAATATTTACTTTACTTTCCACATATGCGGTTAAAGTATAAATACATATTGTACACACTCGTATGTGATTTTTCCTTATGTCACTACTTGATGGATAGTTTTCCGTGCGATCCCTGTGTGTAATTTTCTACAGATATATATTTTTTTGGTGATTTTTCTTGGATTTTGTTTTTGGGTCTTGGGCCAAAGTTAATTTTAGCCAGTTGCCGATGCAGTCCGACTGCAGGCCAAAATGTTCACCCTGTGAATAAATCTTGCGATTGGTTAGTGAAAGCTTCAGAGGTACAACAAAAACAAAAAAAAACACCACACACATAGGGCAAACATGCCGGAAATCTTGAAAGCTGTGGACATGGAGGCATCGTCGGAGATTGTGGACATCTGTAAGTTGATTCGTTTTGGCCACTCTGATATTTGTATTCACTTAAGCTCGGATAACTCATTATAAATACCATCACATCAATGATTATCACAACCGATAAGACACTTTCTGTTCGGGCTATTCTAACTTGCAGTCGAACCGAATAACTGAACACAAACTTCATTGTGGAGGCTTGTCATGGATTAATTCCTGGCATCAGCAACTTAAAGCATTGAATAAGCGTGGAGCTATACCCTCAGGATCAGTGATACTTTGCTATCGACCCTGGCACTCGACCAGCTTTCATCCCCTGCTGCTATTGATTGGGTTCGCTTTTGTCCGAATCGATTTGAGTATAATCTTTATTGTCTATATTTATCTATCTGCCATACCCAAATACACGCATGGATAGATAAACAGCAATCTAAATGAAAAACTTTAGTATTCAGCGGTTTTAATTTGATTTTGAGCAATTGCTCGT